CGAAGTTGGTCGCCCAACTGACTGAGCCACCCAGGCGCCCCTTGTTTGGATAATTTTAAGTAGTACTTTCCCAACTTCTCAACTCTTGTGTCTTTGGAAACCCGATAAAACTGATAGAGTTAAAAACAATACCTGACATAGTGTTATATTAGACTTAAATTGTAAGTTAGGCTTTATTACGATGTACCACATAAGGAAATGAGATTCCAATGGCACAAAAAAGTTTCCTAAGTGTTTGACTTGCTCAAAGAAGTAATGCTGTCTCAAAATGGAAGGCATTGATCTTTTTGCTCCATTAACAATGTTAATATTAATATTTTCATAATTAGTTTTTTCTGTGGTTGATGATACTCAGTGTACCAATGAAAAGACTGAATCATTACTTAATACAGTTATTAGAATACAGTAAGTTAGGGGTGAAGATTCAGCCAAATTGTGATCTCATAACATCGGAGACTTAAGTATTAAAATAGAAGAAACAAAGAGAATCATTGGCCATCTGAAGAAAACATTTTATGGGAAGAAGACACTAACATCAGTGCAGCTCCATTGTAGCTGGATGGTAGCAAAATAGCAGAACTCTTCCTCCAGCCCTTGGGTCCTTCTCATCAGACCAGAGATTCTTGTCTAGTGGGGTTACGATAGTCAGAAATTTTTCTATTTTATTAGTCATCTCCAACGACCCAGTTTTGATTTCATTGATTTTTATCTAAATTTTCTTTACAAAATTATCTAAAGTTTTCTATTTTTTATTCCTTTATTTTCTGCTCTTAGTGTTATTATCTACTTTCTTCTGTTTAATTTAGATTTAACTTTTGGTTGGATGTCAGATATTGTATACTTTATCTTGTTGGATAATAGATATTTTTTATTCTTACAAATATTCTCGAGCTTTCTTTTGGATACAGTTACTTAGAAACAGTTATTCTGTCAAGGCTTGCTTTTGAGCTGTGTTAGAATCAGAGCAGCCTTGAATCAAGGACTAACTTCCCCTACTGAGGCACTACATTGTGAGTACTCTACCCTAAATCCTGTGAATTTCAAAGTTTTCTCTTCTTTCTTGCAGGTGCAGGAAAGTTAACTAGTCCCAGCCTTATATTATTTCTAAGTATTGTTCCCTCTAATCCTTCTAGGTTGTTTTTCTCTGGTCTCAGGGTAATTTCCTTACATGAATATTTTGACCCACACTCAGCTGAATATTTACAGGGGTCCCTCTGCAGATCCTTGGATCTCTTGGTCTGTTTGTCTCTGTCTCCCTATCTCTCTGTCTCTCCCTCCACAGTTCTCTCCTATTTGGTACTCTGCTCTCAGACTATCAATTGTCTCTCTGTGTCCTCAACTCAGGGGTCTTTTGTATCCATTCTTGTTGACTTTTTAGAAGTGGTTTTGCTTGCTTTTCATCTATGATTAATCTCCTCATTTGTCTATTTATTTTTGTGTAACAGGCATCGTAATCAGGAAAATTACTTATAGAAATAATTGACAGCTCAGGATGACTATCTTCCTTTAAAGAAGATTTTAGTGCTTCTGCTGGTCTCTGGGTTCGCTATTTGTCTGCATAACTTGACACTGAGATTTGTGTTTGAAGTTTTCTTGTCTACACAGATGACCTGGGCTGTAGTCTGGGTTCCTTCTTTCGTCTTAATCCTGTGGCTCTTTGGATCCCAACTCAAAGCAGACAGTGGAGTTTAGCCGGATTGCATACTTCACAGGTCCTGGAGGCAGAGAGATCTGTCACCCAAGACTTGTGATGAGGCTAAAAATGCACAAAACAAAAAGTAGCTCGGCTTTTGGTGATGACCAACTTATGATTAGTTAATGACCCTGGCAAAATGTTCCAAATTGCCATGTTAAAATCTCTGGGTCTCATCCTTTCCAGTGGCATTTTAATTCCTTACCACCTACCTATTTGGTAAATTTAGGAAAGTGATTTTTATATTTCATCCATCAGTTTAAAAAAATTCTTTTAATGTTTATTTAGTTTTGAGAGAGAGAGAACATAAGTGACGGAAGGGCAGAGAGAGAGGGAGACAGAATCTGAAGCAAGCTCCAGGCTCTGAGTTGTCAGCACAGAGCCCAATGCGGGGCTCAAACTCAAGAACTGTGAGATCGTGACTAAGCTGAAGTCGGACGTTTATGCGACTGAGCCACCCAGGCACCCCATCATCTATCTTTCTGGTTATGTTTATCAGAAGAGTTTTTCTGAAATATTTAGTCCACTGACAATATATTTCCCTTTAAATGTCAATAAGCAGTGTTGCCGCTTGTAAAGTCACGGTCTGAAATGTTAAATGCAGTATTACTTTAAATCTTTTAAATTCTTATAATACCAAATACAATGGTCAAATAATTATGACGATTAAAAATGTCTCCAGTTATTACCAAACGTCCCCTGGGGAGCAAAACTGCTGCTGGTGAAGAGCCACTGCTGACCAAAATCTGGAGGTGGGGTCGCAGGCTCCACCGGACATGCGTAGAACCATCACGTTGCACTCTCTGCTCCGAGGACTCTGCCCCAGCGTAGGGCTCTAGCCTGGTTTCTGCAAACCCTGAATGTCTCGTTGCTTATTCCTCCCTCATAGACACAAGGCTACAATTAAACAGAATTGTTTTTTTTTTTTTTTTTTTTTTTTTTTTTCTTCTCTGTACTTCTTCTCATGGGGAGGGCATTCTATTCCCTTTAATCAGCACGTAGTCCTTTCTAACTTCCTAACACCTGTTGTGTCCAGTTTAAATGCCATTCCTTTTCTGGGGCCTTTCTTCACCTTCTCATGTGCATTTCCCCCCTCACTTTGAATGTGGTTCCTCCCCTGCATGTATGAATGATCAGATAAATCATGAAAAATATGAGGGAAGAATTTGTGTCTTATCCATCTATTGTCTTCTAGAAACAAAGGACAGGTCCCTGCATCTGGTAGGCACTAAGGAAATGTTTGTTGAATGAATAAATCACTGTTTTGTAAGACGGGATAGTAATTGTCTTCCAGATACTACTTCTAGAAAGGAACTACTTCCTTAGCTTCTGTTTTGGAATCATCATATATTTATCACCAAAGGATTTAACTAAATTATACCCTTCCTAAGTTCCTATTTCTTTGCACATATTAATTCTTGGAACATTATGTCCCATACATGGACTACGTACTAGGTACCATTTTACTTCCATTTATTTGTCTGATAATAAGCTGCTCTCTATCTTTACTGTTGATTATTTTTAAAAATAATTTAAGGACATTGATTGTATGCACACAATTCGATCTTGTCTATCCATGTTGACACCTCAATTTTAGAATTTATAAGAAGAGAATCCTATAACCAATTGAAATTAAACTGAAAATAAATAAACTTAATTTTTGTTCAATTTTCCTTGTGGTTCAATTGTTTCTTGTGTAATGTTTTACTGACCCAGAGTAAAATCAAATTATAGCAACATTTCCCAAAGAATGTTGTGCCAATGTTTTTAGGTAACCCACGAAAATAGAAAGTTGATAGTTAAATAAACTGCTGAAACTTTATGGTATACCTTGCTCTGGGGAATTCATAATTCACAGCAACATATTAAAAGTAGTAAGAAATCCTATAACAATAATCAATCAATTATTGTTCCAATCTCATTGAACCTATTGTTTCTAAACCGTAGACCTTAGTGTTTTTTTTTTAATTTTTTATTTTTTAATATTTTTTTTATTATTTATTTTTGAGACAGAGAGAGACAGAGCATGAACAGGAGAGGGGCAGAGAGAGAGGGAGACACAGAATCTGAAACAGGCTCCAGGCTCTGAGCTGTCAGCACAGAGCCCGACGCGGGGCTCGAACTCACGGACCGTGAGATCGTGACCTGAGCCGAAGTCAGATGATTAACCGACTGAGCCACCCAGGCGTCCCGACCTTAGTGGTTAAACATTGAGGTCCTGGTAGTAGATGGCCTGGCCTCCGATTCCCACTCTACCATTTTCTAACTGTGTAAACTTGGGTGAGTGTCCCAATTTTTTGGCTGGGAAAAAAAGGAGGTAATGGTGGAACTGTAGAGTGTTGTAAGGATTAAAGAATACATGTGAAGTACAGTGAGTCTTGAATAACAAGGACTTGAACTACAGGGGTCCACTTACACATAACATGGGTTTTTAACAATACAATCCTGTAAATGTAATTTCTCTTCCTTATGATTTTCTTTTTCTTTTTTTTTTTTTTTAATCATTTAGTTTTGAGAGACAAAAGACAGAGCAAACAGGGAGGGGCAGTGAGAGAGAGAGAGAGACAGAGAGACAGAGAATCCCAAGCAGGTTCCACACTGTCAGTGCAGAGCCTGAAGCAGGGCTCAAACTCAAACCATGAGAACATGACTAAGCTGAAACCAAGAGTCAGACACTTACTGAGCCACCCAGGTGCCCCTTCCTAATTTTATTAATGACATTTTTTTTTCTCTAGCTTACTTTATTGTAAGAATATATAGTGTATATATATTGCTTTATCAGTAAGGCTTCTGGTCAACAGTAGTTAAGGTTTAGGGGAGTCAAAAGTTATATTGCATGGATGAAGGGGTCAGTGTTTCTAACCTCCATTTGTTCAAGAATTAACTGTACTTAATATTGCCTGGATTATTTAAAACCCTCAATATACATGTGTTATTATTATTTCATTAATTATTAATCATCATAATTTATTAATAATTATAATCAATAATCACATTATTAAAGTTATTGGGAATTCTATATCAGTATAATTAATAGGATTAATATATTTAATACTAATTTATCAACAATTATTTGTTATTGGCATTATTATCAGATAAATCCTGACCACAGGATTTACTTTGGAGTAAGACCTATGAGGGTCACTATGGGATTTGTTAAGAGATTTGGAGGGATTGTTACGGAGTTGTTTTTAATATAGTAGCCTTTCTAGGGAACTACGCTCAGATGGATTAGTTTTTATCTCTGGGCACGCACCTGCCAGTAGGCTGTAGGAAACAGCCAGTAAATGAAGTTTTTTCCCTCCAGGTGCACTGAAGTGCCCTACACTCCTCTCTGCCCAGAGAGAAGAATGAAGCATGAAGCCAAGAGAAAGAAAAGGACCTCCCTGCCTCCTCACATACAGATACGTACACGTACAGATGAGCATACGGAAACACAGATCCCTGCATCATGACATATATGCAGGCATCCGTTCTCAAAGAAGACACACTCACATCGGAGGAGCGTTGCTGAAGTTCCCACGGGCTTTCCCATTCCTGGTCCTACTCTCAAGAGGTTTGGCACTGAGTTCTCAGAACCACACTTCAGAATGTTTGCAGTTTTTCTTTTTGGCTTACTTTAGCTCCTCTTGATTTATTTCATTAGCATTTTTTTTCCCAGAAATATCTCAATTTCAATTAAAATATCTCACATTTTATTGCCAAAAAAAACCTTGATAAAATCCCCAATTTCTCCTATTTCAAAGGTATAGATCAATACATCAATACAAATTTGGGATTTATTTTAACTATATTTGATGAATAGTAGCTTAAAAAGAACTTAGCTTTTATTTAGAACCTTAGAGACATGATACACATATGCATCATGTTTAAAAGTTGGAAGTCAAAAAATAGCTTTAATAACAAAACTAAAGATAGTGTCAACAGAGATTATTAATGTGCTTCCTAAATATATTTTAATGAAATGGTGCATTTTGTATTTTGCATTTAAATTTAATTAATAAATACATAATGATATGGCTCATAAGGATCTGGTTAGAGAATTTTAACTAAAACAAATGAAATATTTGGACTGTAAGGCAAATTTTGTGCATTAAGTCACATGAATTGAGGCCAAACTGGAAATAATTTTGCCACCAATTTATAGTGGCTATAAGGAGAGTATCCTTTATGAAACCATCTAGTATTTAGGAATCTACAGATGATTAATTGCAAAAAGCTATATGAAGTTTTTTGAATAATCTAGCTGAAATACATACTGTCACATAGAATACTATGATGATAAAATACTGTAACATAACATAAAATGTGCTGCTAGATTTAATTAATTTATTTTCAATTATTTTTAATATTTATTTATCTCTGAGACAGAGAGACAAAGAGACAGAGAGTGAGCAGGGAGGAGCAGAAAGAGAGAGACAGAGTCCAAAGCAAGCTCCAGGCTCTGAGCTGTCAGCAAAGAGCCCAATGCGGGGCTCGAACCCATGAACTGTGAGATCATGACTTTAGCTGAAGTTGGAAGCTTAATCGACTGAGCCACTTGTACTGTTACATTTTAGAAGAATAAAGATTTTCACTTTCATAGTTCCTGTTATTAAGTTACTATTGAAGGTTTAGGGTGCCAAAACTGGGGGATTTTAAATTTCAGACTTATTGAAAATTATATTGTTATAGTTTCATTCACTGAAGAATCTAAATATTGATTCTACAGTTTTCAAGATACTGGGTAAGAGGTATCTTAGCATTTTTATTTCTAGATCTAATTGAAGATATAATCTGAAGATTGACCATATTAGAAAACAGATTTGGATAGCCACCTTATAAGCTATAAAGATTTTTAGAGTTTAAAAATAGAAACACAGTTCTTAAAGGCTGAATTAAGAAGTCAACACTAACCTGTATCCGTATACTTGTAGTCATACACACGGAAAAGACAGTTGAGTGTTTTTACATTAAAATAATCATTGTTATATGGATGCTGTTTAGTTTTTTCTACTCCTGAAGTGAGGAAAACAGTTACTTTTATATTATCTCTTTGCTTAATTTGAAGGTAAATATTAAAAACAAATGGCTCTCTTAAATTATATTTAATGAGGAGAATAAAAATTATGTCAATTGTATAACGGAAAAATTTGGTAAATATTGTAGATTATTTTGCTTTTTAAAAAAGGGTTTATATTTGAGAGAGAGTGCAAGCAAGAGAGGGGTAGAGAGAATGGGAGACAGAGAATCTGAAGTAGGCTCTGTGCTGACAGCAGAGAGCCCTATACAGGGCTCCAACCCATGAACTGTGAGACCACAGCATGACCTGAAGTCAGATGCTTAACCGACTAGGCCACTCAGGCACCCCGATTATTTTGCTTTTGATAAACACTTTTCTGCATATCTCTTACATGGCTATTTGAGTAAAAAGTTATCTCCAGCAGGAGTGCCTGGGTGGCTCAGTTTGTTAAGAGTCCAACTTCGGCTCAGGTGGTGATCTCATGGTTCGAGGGTTTGAGCCCCGCATCAGGTTCTGTGCTGTCAGCTCAGAGCCTGGAGCTTGCTTCGGATTCTGTGTCTCCTCTCTCTGCTCCTTCCCCCATCTCTCTCTCTCTTAAAAATAAATAAACATTAAAAAAATAAAAAAAATTATCTCCAGAAGAGTTAATTCTTCTTCAGGAGTAAACAGTTAAAAACATTTCATTTCTTTGAGAAAGAGCTCATCTGAAGAAACTAGGTGACAATGTAGTTCTCCAAATCACATCAATATTTGTCTATAGCTTTGCTGGAATAAATGTTTGCCCTATAAATGAATTTACAAGTCAAAAAATAAATTACTTGACTAGATTGCTAAACTAGGAGATTTTAGGAAATATAGAGTTTCTGGCTTTCTTTTCTTGTATAGGATCATCTAGAGCATCATCTCTGTAACCTCAGAGACTTATCAAAATTGAAGCAGGTCTCTTAAGGTGCTGCCAAAGACTCTATGGTGGTCTCACCTTTGGTGGTCTCACCTTTGGTGGTCTCACCTTTGGTGGATCCATTCTGACCACTGAGTTTCTGAGTTCTTCCTTTGGTCCGGTCTTCTCCCAAGTCCCTGATGCCATGCAGCTCCAGACTCCATATAGTACAAGTCTGGTCTTTCACAAGACTTCTCCCAGGTTAAGGGAACCCAACCATCTGTCCTTCACTCTCCTCTTCCAGACATCTGCTCCGGACTTCTGTGCCTTCCTATTTGAGTACTCTCTTTCACATATAGAGAAGTATTCATGCCTTCCTCTGCCCTCTTATAATTATCTGTCTGTTCCTGGACTATCATTTCTTGTCTGTTGCCCCAACCTGTGGAAATCACATAGTGCTTTAGTTACTGGAATGAACTTTCTTTTATCATCTAAAACTTGGGTCTGCTAATTACCTGCCCTGCTTCAGTTGGTGGAACTATTTCTACGTCTCAGTTTCTCTCAGTTTTCCCTGTCTCACTATAGTGAATAAGATCATATCTGAAAGACATTTGAGGCTGGAGATTATTGGGGTGATGGGAAGAAAAGAGCTTAAAGGATCAAGAATTTTGCTTAATCGAACTTGTCAATGTGCTTTGTACTGAATTCAGGATTAGTGTATTTTTTCTTTCAAAGTTCACAAATCTGAAGATGGAAGATGAGCTTTCAATTTTTTTGGTCATTGCATATAACTTGCTAGGGAAATAGTTTTTGTTTTTTTTTTCAACGTTTATTTATTTTTGGGACAGAGAGAGACAGAGCATGAATGGGGGAGGGGCAGAGAGAGAGGGAGACACAGAATCGGAAACAGGCTCCAGGCTCTGAGCCATCGGCCCAGAGCCTGACGCGGGGCTCGAACTCACGGACCGCGAGATCGTGACCTGGCTGAAGTCGGACGCTTAACCGACTGCGCCACCCAGGCGCCCCACTAGGGAAATAGTTTTACTAGGTAATTTAATAAGGGAATCAGATGGATTGAGGTGTTTTGTCAAGTAACTAATGGAACATTAGGATTTTAGTCGTAATTAGATATCCAGACTAGAAATCCTGAAGCAGATCAGATGTTCTGACTATACAACTTACTGAATATCCTCTACAGAGAACTTCTGATTTCCAAGATGGGCATGGAATGTGAATCTGGAGCCACTTGTTTTCTTGGATGAAGGCCAGACAAAGGTGCATCACAATCCCATAGCAAAGGTATGTACCGAGAAGGGCTCATCAGACTCAAATGTCTTATGATTTTGAACCCAGGTTGCACTACAGCAAAATGTAGCTGGCCTTAAAGCAACGTTTTTCAGAGTATTACTTCAACCACTGCTTTTAGTGATGTAAATTAGCATTATAGAAAAACAGAGTTTCTATGATGAAATATATTTTAGAACTGCTGAGTTAAATAAAAGTAAGCAAACTTCTTTATTGAAGGACATCCGAGCACTTTAATATATGAAAATGCTCTGTGAATCTTCAAAAAAGGAATATTTTGTGAAGTATTCTGCAAATGTTTTTGATCATGTACCCAAATTTTATTCAACGAAAACTACAAAAAACAAATGTTTGACGCTAGTCTAATTTGGGACATAGATTTAGGGAACCCATTTGATGCAGTGTTCAGATGCAGAGTGATCATTAACAAACATCATCATTTACTAAAATAAATAACATATGTTGACAAATGTAACGAATAGCCAAATGGTCACGCAAATGTTTCCTTGTGCTTCTAAGCTCATAAACCCTAAAAATAGTATTTTGTACTTGAAGTAATTATAGTTTGCATAATTAAAATCCTGAGTTTTAGGTCTGGCTACTGATTTGGGGCTTAATATTTTTTATTATGGCAGAAACTGGCAATCCCAGAGGGAGGCTTAACCTTGAAAAATAATCTTTTTGCTCTTTTTTATGAAACTGTGTGTTGTAGGAACTGATGGCCCTGCCAGTTTCTGGGACTTGGATTTGTTTTCTTGTTGACTGATGGCTACATACCCATTGTTAAAGGTGTTCCAAAAAATTTTTAAAGTCCTCTTTAAGTGTGATGAAGGGGAAAAAGACTAGAAAGGCAAAATTGAATTTTCTAAAAAAAAATTTTTTTTTCAACGTTTATTTATTTTTGGGACAGAGAGAGACAGAGCATGAATGGGGGAGGGGCAGAGAGAGAGGGAGACACAGAATCAGAAACAGGCTCCAGGCTCTGAGCCATCAGCCCAGAGCCTGACGCGGGGCTCGAACTCATGGACCGCGAGATTGTGACCTGGCTGAAGTTGGACACTTAACCGACTGCGCCACCCAGGCGCCCCTTTATTTTTAAAAAAAATTTTTTTTTTCAACGTTTATTTATTTTTGGGACAGAGAGAGACAGAGCATGAACGGGGGAGGGGCAGAGAGAGAAGGAGACACAGAATCGGAAACAGGCTCCAGGCTCTGAGCCATCAGCCCAGCGAATTTTCTATCCAGAAAGAATTTTTCAGTTTCCCCCAAGTCAGTTCTATCCTCAAGGAAGCTTGTCAGACTGCTTAAAATATGATACGGTCTGAGTTACCACTACGACCAGCTTGTTTTAGACATGGAGTTCCCAAAGCAGTGTCTGCTCTACAAGGATTTTTGTTTCTTTGTTTCAGAGTACCTGGCTACTGAGAGTAAGTTACCGAATACTCAATATTCTTCCTATCTCTAGGATGCCTCCAGTTATGTTCTCTGACTTTTCTCCGTGATGAAAACCACTTTCTCTGTCTACCCCACAACAGAGGAGTAATTTGGAGATACTCATGTAATCATCACATGATCTTATAAGTAAGAGGTTGTTATTCCTGTCTTCCATGAGAGGAAACGGAGGTGAAGAGAAAGAACTGACCTTCCCAAGGCCACACAGTTGGTAGTGAGAAAGCTGTGTTGAACGTGAGCAGTCCTTGTCCAGAGCCCAGACACTTCAAGCCACTACATCACACCCCTCTTGTCAGCTAAAGGGAGATCCTAATCATTAAAATGCATTGCAGTGGACCATGACGGTGCATAAGATACTATGACGCTTGCTTCCATTTTTTCATGATCTAGAGTTTGAGAAAGGTGCATTGTGGCTTTACTCACACTGTACATCTGCTTATAAATTTTCACTGACTTTATGTCACACTGCAGTATGAATCATTTGAAACCAACCAGCCTAGTCTATATTTGTCAGTGTAAGTGTCAAGCACTCTATATTCTGAGCTTTTATTTCAACACTCGAATGCTTTATCTAATGTTATTCTTCATGGACATACCACTATAATCAGTCATGTTTGTTTGTTTATTTATTTATTTATTTATTTAAATATATGAAATTTATTGTCAAATTGGTTTCCATACAACACCCAGTGCTTATCCCAACAGGTGCCCTCCTCAATACCCATCACCCACCCTCCCTCCCTCCCATCCCCCATCCGCCAGGCATATTTATTTAACTTATCCTGCTTCCAAGGCTTTGTTCATATTTCCATTATAAGGAATATCCACACATCTTTTCAGATTGTCTAATTAAATTATTTCTTCAAGGACTATTTCACAGCTCACTTCTTCCATAAAAATGCTGACCACTTTACCTGCTGTCTCAAAACTTGTCTTTGAAACTTCTGAAATATATTTTAAACATGAAATATATTTTGCATCACAGTGGATGTGACCTTTGAGTGTAATCTTAAGGATGCTAAGAGTTCATTGGCCAGAAAAACAGCCTGGGCTCTGGATGGTGTGGGAACTGTCACAGAAGAGCAAACATGACAGAGCATTCCAAGGGAAAAGCTTAGAAAAATTGGTAAAAGCCAAATATTAAAAAAAGTATGAAACTTCCTACCAATTGAGGAATATGTCCTGAAAACAATGAGAAATCAAGGAGAGATCCTAAAAAGTGCATAACTTTTTGAAAAAATGACTGGTTAATCAACACTATAGCTGAATTCTGTTTTCCTATCGCCTTGTATTTGTTTTTCTCATAGTGGCAGTGTGGAGAGATGATTTTTAAGCCTTCAAGAAATTATCGCTTTAAGCCAGGTAGGAAATGTTGAAGACCGCAGTGCAATGAATGGGGCAAGAGCAGTGGACTAGAAGAAAGAAGATGTATGTAGGAGATAGTTCATGATCAAGTAAATGTGGGGAAAAGGAAGAGAAAGAATCAAGAATCACTTCTAAATTTTTGATTTGGACAATATAATTTGTAATAGTACCATTAAGTGAGTGAAAGATTAAGAGGGGAAGTGGGTGTTAAAATCCTTTCATTGTGGGCTATCGAAGGCCATGGGTCTGTAGGAAGTGAGATGACAACAGACAACTGGAAGTCAGAGGCATATGGCTGAAGAGAGAAGTTCAAAATGGATACATAACTTGTGATGATAGGCTGTTCGTAATTGTTGATTCCATATACTTGAATAAAAACAATCAGGGGATATGCAAGGTGAGGCCTTCCAAGCTTGGATCAAGGCAGAACGAAGAGTTGGATAGATTCTCCTGTTTCCCACACAGAAACCCAAATCAATGGATCCAAGTTCAGCCCCAAATCCACTGAAACAATGCAAAATTAAGGAAACAAGCCAGTGTACAATAGTTTATGTGTGTACACTGACTGTCATTTTTTGATTTAGTATTTGTAATAAATGTATAATCTGTCAAATATATTGTTTTTAAGTTTTAATTCAATATATACAGGGGATCCAGATTTGCATGTGAGTCAAAATGAATCTTCTCGAGTGAATGATTTTGAATGGAAGCATCATAAATAACCAGCACTAACTATTGCACATTTAAATTGAATTCTTTTATTTTAAATATTCACAGTACAGGAATTTATTAAGCCTGAATAGAACATCATTATTTACACATCCAAGGAATAACTCCAGTGGTAAATCAGTGAAGTACTTATGTTGAATATAGGAAATATGATTGAAGAAAGAGAATTCTTCTTACACATACAGGCTCAAACCCTTTATACATTTATTTCTGCCTTGGGATCTTAGCATGGATCATTGAAGTCACTATTAATTGCTGAACATAATTTCAAAAAATTATAACAATAGCAATCATACCATATATTTATATAAACCCAGAAAGACATCAATGGGCCAGAATCCACATTACGATGGCATTTTTAAGGGAAGGAAATTTCAAATGACATCTCCAGTTTAATTTGTGGAAAACACAAGTTCTTCAACTAGCTGAATATACAGATTTCCTATGGCATTTTGCTTTGCATGGCTTATTAAAATATTTGCTTAGCTGCCATAACATGTTATGTTATTTACAAGTTGAATCAATGAAGGGAACAATGTGTAGCAAACTAAGAGCCCAGAGCAATGTTCGTTGAATGCCATACACATATAACATCGTGGTCAGTGAAGTTGGCCTCCACACTGCCAGCACTGACTACTCAACATTTGGATTAATGATTTTCTCCAGGCTATAGCAAGGATCAGTTGCCTGAGTTTCAGCTTTTCTTACTGTTATAGTAACTTCACTGAAGCTGTTCAAATTGAACTTGAATGAACCAAACTTGTGTAAATAAATAAATAAATAAATGTATAAATAGGATCCCCACTGTTTTAATCACATGGCAACAAAATTACCTTCCAATAGTATAAATGCTTATATTGGTGTTTTAAGTCACCTAGTGCTATTTCTAGTCTTACTATATTATGATGAATAACTAATTTCATTTGGGAAGTGGTCATTGGTCCACATATATTATCTGTTTGGAATTAAGCCCTTTGAAAAGCACAAGTATATTTTCTGAAAAAGAACACAAAACAGAAACAAAAACATAAACAAAACTTCACTGAATGGAGTAATTTCTGTTCCCAAAGACTACTGCAAATGATCAGCATGTGGAGGCTTGGTGTTATTCAGCAAAATTCGTATTTTCTATAGAATCTTTATTTTTTTTTCTTAAAACCCAAGTTACTGAGAAAAAGATTTTTTCCCCTCTTCTGCCAAGCACACTGATTGGCTGTTCACACTGCCTGGATGTTCTACATCATTGCCCAACTTGATGTTGTACAGACCTGGCCTCAAGTGTTTAGCATTCCCACACCTCCCACCATACCCCCCGACCACCCCTGGCAGTAGTACTGATTTTGGCAGTGTAAAAAAACAAAAGACACACTATTCTTGATTGTAGAAAAAGCTGCCAGAATATTGTGTTCATAGTATGGAACTGATTGAGATATTTTTCACATCTTCATGCTTTTATAATAGTAAATTGCTATGCAGTAAATTGTGTCATTTGCCAACAAATGATTTTATTTGTTGTATTTTATTGCCAACGAGAGACTCCAGGAAGAAAATTGGGGGGGGATTTTACCCCATTATGCTGCCAAGTTAGAAAAAAAGCAAAGCAGCATTGTCTATTGGCTAATTAGCACTAACATTTTCACTTTACTCAAGTTTAAAAAGAATTTTTGAAAGGATGTGAATCATGCACACAGATTGAGATGAAGCCAATGTATGAGCTGGCAGTGTAAATGCCTCTCTAAAGTTGCATGATTCACTAATGGCATGCATTTTTTTACCTAATATAACACAACCTTAATATCTTCATATAATTCCTAACACATTTTATTTCAAACATGCACTGGCTACTAAAATAAGATTTTAAAGAAAAGCTGATGTTTGATATAAAATAATCATGTCTTTTCAAGTGTGGAAAAATACTCTACAAAAAAATAAGTAGAAAAGTGGTTTCTGATCAATGTGTGATTTTATCTATAAAAATTCAGATGACTAATTAGTGTGCTTACAACAACCCTATGGGGTCTGCATTGCAATAATACACATACAGAAAGTTAATAGCATTAAACAACTATTAGCACAATGCAATTAAATCCTTATCAGAAATAACATGAACCTATAAACTGTACATTTGGCATTTAGATTTCAGAATATTTTTAAGAGTCCACTTAAATATGACAATACAATAGTGCAAAATCACATTACATTAAGAAAACATACAATTATCACCCAAATGGTTTATGGATTACTGACCCTTACAATTCACATATTGGCTAGAATTGGCACATTTTATTTCACCATGATAGTTTTGACCTTCTTTACTTGAGTGTACATTGTTTTATTCAAAGTTACACTTGAACTACACAGAAGTATAGGCATATGTGTGTGTGTATGTGTGTTCTTGAGGAAATGAGAGAAGAGAAAGTATGTAAAGTCCCCACTCTTTATTTGCAAAACTCCACTGCATTTTTTTTAGCAACCATTTAATTAGAGTTCCTAAGGAAATTGCCTGGTAACTATTTTCTCTTCTTTCTTATGGCTCCCAGAGCAGTGACATGGCCACATGGAAGAGAGCAAGGAGGAAAGAAGGAAAATTCTAGAAGAGTATATGGCAGCCCATGCTCCGTGCCAGGCTAACTAAACCAGAATGTCTAATCAAGAAATCAAGATTTATGAAGTGACTGTAATGTAAAGTCTACCACACTGTTGACACATGAGATATCAGTGACCCCCCCCCCCCAAAAGCTAGTGGATTATGCGATGGATTGTGCCACCTGGAGCTTGGGTTCGAATCCTTGGTTTACTACTCTTTTCTTCCTTTCTGCAGCTTTGTGAACTTGAATCTACATTGAGACTTGTTAACTCTTTACTTTTTCCCTTTAAAAACCTCTATTAGGGTTTTAGATTGTTTTTAGGTTGTTTTAGATTCAGAATAAACCGCATTATTCCAATGATTAATCTCAATAATTTCTCTCAAATTATTGCATTCCCGCCAGCAACCATTACTTTTTACCTTCATCTCACATATGATTTATGAAAATGTTATTTTTCTTTTGTCACAATTACTCCATTAACCCTGTCTCCTACCAAATCCAATCTTAAGTTAAAAAAAAGAAAAAATAAAAAAGAGGGAGGGGAAAAGGTCCACGTGAATAAATATACTGATTTTGAAGGCTGCCATCATGCTGATAGCTCAAGAGATTTAAATTTTTATTTAAGAGTAATAAAGATGTCATTGTTTTCACTACTTTTTTCTATCTCCATTTCCAATGCTATATAGCCTGTTCATCTTCCAGCACAAGAGCTATCATTGTTTTGAATGTAAAGCATCTATGAGCTAAATGATGTTCCCCCCCCCGCCGTAAATCAACTCCTGCTCTCAAGTATGATAGTCTTTGTCCTTTGATTCATTATTTTAAAATAATATATAAGATATCCAAGATAGGTCATCTATTATCTAAAAAGGAGACAGCTCCTGCCTTTACATAGAATGAGATATTCTTGGTCTAAGGCTCTTAAAGAAGAAAGCCAGTATTTGGAAGGCCTGATCTCATTACAGTCCCTGGAGACACATATCCCATCCCAGATGATAGTAAGCTCTCATCTGGCAATCTGGCCTTGGACGAGGAAGACATCTTCAGGATTGTCTCATCTGAGGGACTGAAGGTGGCTAATGAGGCCAGTCCAAGATGGGGGATGCACTGTTGTAATTCTGGGACGTATTTCTTGCACAATGAGTAGTGTGGGGTTGTTAAGTTAGTCTGGGTACCGTATCTGTGGAGACTGATTTTCCATCTCCTGCACCTTCCTTAATCAAAATGGAATGCAGCCTTGTGTGAAAGAGTCAGCATAGTTAACATACTTCTCCGAAAAAAAAAATCACTCTGAAAACTTCTCAGATAAAATGTATATTTGTTTCTCCTAATGAAATTCCAGCAAGCTCTAATTTAACATTCTTTGTGTATACAAGAAATTCAATAATTTGGTTGTCAGATAACTCAGAAAAGTAATTTTTGAAATTTTCTAATGTGTCTGAAATAAATGTTTCTAATGTTCTTTAAAGTGAGATGATTATGAACTACTTAAAACTACTATTTTGAATGTTATTCATTTTTTTCACACATACATATAAAAAATTCCTTAAGTTTACTTTTTTGTTTTATTACAGTATAACTTAGAAATTGTGCAAATGAACAGCTGAGGTTAGTCATGTCAAAATTTTATTATGCAATTAGCAATTAGAGTAGTCTTACAGTCTGGCTAGGAATTATTTTTATTTCTGCACCACTAAACAAATACATTCCTGTTTATTGAATTTATACTCTAACATTTTTAAAGTAACTTTTAGAATTTTTTTTAACTTTAGGAAAAGTAGATGAGGACCTGATTTTGTTTCTTATGTCATTAACTGGCTCTGTGGCCAAGCTGATGTGGAGGAACTCAGGTTGTTGAATATTTCTGGGCCTCTTTCCTTACCAGCCAATTGCCTCTGAGAATCTTCCTGCTACTCCATTCTGTGACATGAGCTATGCCAACTAATAATAACCTAAATTAACTGTTAACTTACGGATTGTTCATAACAGTGAGGGGAAATTAAGCCTGCTGGAGATCCAATTATTTTAAGAAATGGAGCATGTGTGTACTGATGCAAATAATGCCTGTGTGCTACCAAGGCCAGCTCCCCACACCCCTTCCAGTACTTAGCAATTACAGAAGATGTGAATGCATGCTTCCACACTGTATTTATTTGTTTCTCTTATCCTGAAGGTTGTTCCTTCGGCTTACTTAAATTTGCAGCGATTCTTATAAGCTGTCTGCTTAATTAACATCTTCAGTTTGGGAACTGAAATTGTGGAGACAGTTTGGAGTTCCCCACAATGATCTTTTATTAT